GCGCCGGCCGATTATTGGCAATGAGCCGAGACGCCTCGCTGCGAGTTGTGATGTGTGGGCAATTTATTGGTATTATGATTGTAAATTTTTAATTAATTAGCGGTGATTAAGATAAATAGATAAGTTAATTTTGTATATGTGACAGTAATTATTATTGCGCATGTTGTGTTTGTTAAGCAGTCACAATTTAATGCTGATTAATGCAATTTGAACCACTTTAGAGGTACTCAAAACATCTTTGTTAGGAATTACGTCTATTTTAAATTTTTTGTCACGTTCAGTTTGTTGTCTGTTTAATGAGTATTTTCGTGAAATCTAAGATATTTTTTATACGTAGGCTTACATAATAATTTGATGCTCTCCAGCATTCGGCTCGCCTTGTTCTTAAAGCTAAACTGTGAAATATTGCTCATAGTTGCACCAAATTGGATTGAGGTTGATCTCTGTTCTGTTGTTGAATTAATCAGCATGCAGTTGTTCTTATATACACCTGTGATCGAGTTTTCATTAGTTTTTGCAGTGTTCTTTTCTGTATTTGTTTGTGTTTACTGTGATATTGTCGAAATGTTTCATTGAATATAATCGTAATTGTAATTCTGCTATCGAAAAAACATTGTAACCATTTAGACATCCATAAATTTATTATGAAAGACTCTCGTTCTTCTTTCAGATCAGTTTCAATATATGTTTATTTTCTCCCGAACCACAAATTTAAGTTCGAAGAGAATTACATTCCGAATATGAGGCTTCGGGTAGCTAAGAACGGTGATAACGGAATTGATATATACATATATATGCCTGATGGATTGTGTGAGAGCAGTGAAAACAGGTAAATAAAAGTATTTTATTGAACTAAACACGTTAAACTGAACATAATAAATAAATAAGTGAGGGCAGTTGAGAAGCATGTTACTTATTTTATAATCATTTATTCAATGATCGTGCACCGCTTTTCGGTGGAACTTCTACTTTTAATTTGGTTGGTAACAGATCTCATATTCGTTATCCTAAGCTATCTCCAGGTGTTCATATATCTCCTCTCATTGTCTAAAGACCAGGATGATTATAATATTATACCATCCAGATAGAATCTGAATTTAGTTAAATCAATTGGATCACATAAAAGTGCTCAACGAATTTGATGGCTGTTTGATGTGATATTTGATCTGTTGATTCGGTAGATTTGTGGAAGATAGATAGATGTGAATTGTTGTGATATGATATTGATTCGATGTCGCTTGCTTCATCATTCATCGACTGCGGCATTCAGGTAACAACAACTTGGTTATTTTTAGGATCAGGTTGGGTAGGTACAAATTTCAGCATATCATTCAGCAGCATGATTACATGTCCGTGGATACATTCACTGTTATGATCAATCGCGTTGTGGTGGTTTTATGATTGTCCTCATAATGGCTGATAACTGGAAGGAAACGATGACGGAATAGAGCGATGATTATGATTATAGGTAAAAGGAAGAGCGATCGGTGTGTGGCTCGGATGGAATGTCATCGTTTCACGTTGGGTATGGTAACGAGTGAGGACGATGCTGGATTGCGTGGCAGCGAGGCATCTGAAGAGTACGTGTTGCAGTGTGGACACATCCATGTCACCTGGGCGCATCCACTCGACTGCTTACATCTGAACTGTGATTACTGTTCGTATTATCACTATTAATATTGTTGGTGAAATATTGTCATGAACACATTTCTATCTTGTTGTTATAAGCTGATAAAGTGTGATAAGCAATTAATGAAGATATTAACAGGAGGAAAGCTAAGGAACAAAAGCATTAACCGTTGACATGTGTGTGGTTTTTGGCCGGGATTCTTGAGTAATACACTTAGTCGATCCATCATGGCAGCTCGTGCTCTTGTTGATAAGCAGTCGTCTGAAAACCCGTTCAGAGTTTTTCTTCTTCGGAATGAACACCATAGAAGGAAGGATTTAGAGGAGAAATAAATTGCCAGTAAGATTTTTGATTTGCGGATAACGATAACGATACGAAAGGAGAACATATTATCACGCTATATTTCTTAATCAACGAAAAATATTTGTTTGAAGTGAGTTATTTGAAGGTGACTTTGAGAGAGTGGGATTTCGAGGTTGTACTGAACATTGCAAGCATACAAGTTTGTTGAAATGTCATTTCGATGAGATGTTCTGGGCGATGGATCATCTGAAGACATGGGTCGAGTAAGTCGTGTAAGAAACATCGGTCCAGCAATGACAATCGCACGAAAACTGATAACTGAAAGTTCACATCCGATGCCATAAAGGGGCCAAAATTTTTTTGGATTATCCTAATGAAATATTCATAGTTGATAAAATTCAACAGCAATATTCACTGCAATTCTATGAGATTGCGCTAGCAATTCCTTTTGAAGCAGTTCATAGAAATCAACAAACAGTAAAAGATAAAGTGTACTTGTATACAACTCACTTGCGTATGTGTGGCTAATAACAATAGTGCACATTTTCTCAACAAACCAGGCGATTCCATTTTACATGCGGCCATCAGAACAGGGCCTATGTTCGCCTCTGAAATCCGAATTTTCGGCATAATGTGGTGATCACTAACACTTGGTGATTACAAACTTAGACAGTGGATCAAATTTATCCAGTCGTATCAAATTTATCATATCAGATTACCAGCCGTCGAGTGATTAACGGTAAAAAAGTGGAATATGCGATCATATCCGCGATTAACCTGTTATCCTTAACTGTGGCGGATAGATAGCCATCAGAAAAGCTTTCAACTCTTCGTGTGTACACGAGCAAAACATCTCTTCGGTGATAGTTGTGGATGTTATACGTTCCTGTAATCATTCAAGGTTACCTGAAAGTGAATTCGGGAAGCACTATTAAGCCGTGTATCACCCTCAGAGTTCATATTTTTTGATTGCTCTCAACTCTGTTTGATGCGAATAGAGTAAGAGAACGTATAAGTCAGCTGACCTGAAAAACATTCGACCACGCAGCAATATAATACGGATTCACGTAGTAGACCCGTCCTGTTTTCGCACGAATCATCGCAAAATTCAAATCACTCGCACGATAAAAATGCTCAAGATCTGTCGGTTGTTCAAGCATTTCCTGTACAAATCAAGCGTTACACAATTCAAGCATTGCATTTGCCATATAAATTTGGGTAAGCCACTACCACCACACTCTATACTAGTCAAAAATCTATTGAAATTTCATCTTTTTTTTTCGAACAGAGCTTGATGTGAGCTATCACAGAAGTATATCTTATCAATTCCTGAAGCAGAGGATCAACTTGTGGTGTTTAACGATCCCGAAAATTGCAATCAATTATGGTCGAACGAATTGATCAGTGCGTAAAACGAGAGAATGACTTCAATATGCATAATGAAAAATGTATAAAACAAAAGCGAATGCATACACAGAAAAGAAAAGGATGGAATTGTGTGAGTTAATGGAAAATGAGACTTTGGACTCATGAGAGAAGTGTTGAATAAAAGTAGGTTAATGGTGTTTAAGAGACTGCTTCATAGTGACAAACCTCAGGTGCCAATGAGCCATGTAACCGTTCCAGAATAAGCACCTTAACTCGATCACTCAACCCATAATATCGTGTTCCGGTCAAATCAATCTTTGAGTTGGGCCTCATCTCTCGTAAACACAAAACCAGCAGACGATTCAATTTATACCTCAACATTTCCAAATATTTTAGGAGATATCCGTTTATCTAATCGTTACTCTCCAACTTATTATTCATCGAGACTGAGCTTATATCAGCAAATTATATAATAATTCTTGTCATATAGCATATTGAACAGATACGACATTCTCAGAAGCATTAATGCATAAACAACGTTCAATTATAGGTATCAACATTGTGAAGGCGTCTTCTGATTATTAACAAGCGACATTTTGGGTAATTTGATGATCGCAACCGATACCAGTCTCATTCTAATGACTCCCAAATTCACGTTCCCTAATTCATTTTTATCCTGGAAATTCCGAAATTTCTATTCTAGAAATTTTCATATGTGTGTGTGGATAGAGGAAGAGAACAATCAATCAGTTTACCTGTCAGCTAACCAAACTTTTTCAAGGAACGGTAAACGATGATTGACAAGAAAGCATTCACAACGATGCAGAAGTCCTTCCATCTGTACAAAGGAAACAAGTTAAATTTCTTTCAAACATTAAATCTTCTCGAAATCATTGAAAAAAAAGAGAAAAATTTATTCGATACGTTCAAATCTGAATGGGCATGATGAGTAAAGGAGCATGATGAGGTGCGAATACGAGAGAATCGAGTCGAAAACCTGATAATCGAAGGCAAGAGGTAGTAGAATGTGTACAGACTGGTCATCCACCTCTTTGTAGGTGGGATGAATACACTGTAGCATTTCAAGAACATGGTCATATTGAACATTCGCTAGGATCAGCTCACGATCCGGGCATTCGATACACCACGCTCTAGAATTTGGCACTTATATTAGACAGACCTTTTCCTAAATCTCGTTTAATCCAAAACCTCTGCGGATTCAGCATGAGATATCAGTCAATTTGTGTGGATCTAAATTGATAAGTGCAACGTCAAAACAAGATCAAATATGGGAATCATAATTTAAAGAGTTATGGTAGATTCAGGATAAATTTGGATTTGAATTAGTATTTTATGTGGGGTTATGCATATTGA